CTAGCGCTGTACCCCTTGAGCCACAGCGCCACTTCTGGTTTTCTAGTGGTTTATTGGAGATAGGAGTTTCACGATCTTTCCTGCCCGGGTTGGCTTTGAACGGCAATCCTCAGATCTCAGCTTCCTGAATAGCTAGGATTATAGGCATGAGCCACCAGCACCCGGCGACCCTGTCTTAAGAATGCCTTTGTAGCTGGGCGCTGGTGGCTCATGCCTGTAATCCAAGCTACTCAGAAAGCTGAGATCTGAGGATCACGGTTCAAAGCCAGCCTGGGCAGGAAAGTATGTGAGACTCTTATCTCCAATTAGCCACCAGAACATACCATGATCAATCTCACCTCTGCTTTGATTCCCTGTGTTTGTTTCCTAGTATCCTGGGAGATAAGACATACTGCACAGATGTTTGTAGAACTTACTCTGCATTTAATTTGGGGTCCTCTTTACGTTATATAATTGTATGGACTTAGATTTCAGGTATTTATAAATGTTTCTAAATCGTGTTTCACTCTTCTGAAAAGTAGCTTCTTTGAAGATATTTACTTACATTATGGCTCTATAAAAAAGTGAATGTTTGGCTCTAGATAAATGTAGCTTTATTTATATAACAACTGCATAATGGAGGCTTATTATGTGCTCTTACTGATTTTGACCTAGGAGTTTGTTCTATTTTCTGACCCCATACTTACTTCTTACAAGGGCAGAATTGAAGTGGGACATAAAAGCACTTACTGTGAAATAGTCATTACGCATGCATGAAGAAACCAGTTTTAATGGATCAAATACTGTATGCTAATACTAATGCTATTCAGAACAGGAAAACTGACAGAGAAAGATTAGTGCCTGTTAGTTTAGAGTGGAGTGGGTAGAGGAAGAGATGAACAGTGACCGCTAATGGCTACTGGTTTCTTTGGGGAGTGATGAAAAGTCTACCCTTCCTTAACAATAAATCCTCCTCTTTCAGTTTCTCTACTGCTGGGATTACAGATATGTACCACCCAAGCCAGGCTTTCAATTTTTCAGTTCCAAGGAAAAAAACAGGAAGGCAAACTACACTGCTATGTTGAAAATACCTTCCTTTTAATTGTCTTTCATATTTACTGAGGACCAAAGACACAGAGTTCTGCCAATAAAAAAATACTGTATTGGCAATATGACAGTAACCAATAACCTCTACGAATGGACACAGAGCTGGGTGTGGTGGCATGGACACCTATCCTAGCTATGTGGAAAGTGTAAATGGGGGGATCTTGGTCAATTCAGCTGAAGGTATGGCTCAACTGGTAGAGCACTTGCCCTTCAAGCACATAGCCTTGAGTTTAAACTTTCTCATCAAGAAAAGAATGCACACAGATTATCTGTCATTTGTAAGTTTACACCAATAAACACAATATACAGAAAAACTTCACAAACCACCTTTTATACTGGGCATCATGTTCTTACCAAAGACTTGAAAGCCTAGCACACAGGTGTATGTTGTCCAATCAATGTCCTTACATTCTGATCGATTCCTGATTAGTTTGCAGCCATCTTTAATGTTCCCTTTAAATTTAGAAACAGGAGGTATAATCACAGTGCTTGTGTACAAATGTATTTGAAAGTGCATCTCGATTCAAACTAGCCACGTTTACTTGTATTTATAATCCATACACTGAAAAACATTAAGACACATTTAAAAAGGAAAAGAAAATGTTTACCTTAACAGGATTTTATGAAACTACAAATTGTTTTCTGTGGAAGTTCCCTCCCACCCCTCTAAACAGCACAACTGCTCATCCATAATACGCTTCCCTGACTCCAGGAAAAGCTGCTAAACGAAAACCCATTCAGAGTGACATCCGTCTCAATGAGTGAGTTCTTATTACTGTATGTGCCTTCAGTTCTACACCATTAAATTAATTCATAACTGTCTTGGAGATGTGAACCACATGTGAGACATTTGTTACTTAGCTCTAAGTAACATGTATTTTGTCAAGTTAGAGGCCAGCAAGCATTCGCTGCACAATTCAAATTCCACACAGCCTGGGTATTAGCCTCTGATTGACACATCTGAGCCCCTCTATAATTATTCATACTTACAGTACAAAATCTCATAGTCTCCAGAGTTAGACATTATATGCTTGTTGTCTGGGGACCAGTCAAGGTGTGTGATGTAGCTGGAATGTCCCTAGGGGAAAAACAGATTAGTGAGGAAGCAATTAGTCTTAAATGATAGAAGTTTAATAATTAGCTAATGTAGCCGTTTCTCAGCTTGAGAACAGGGAACAGTATTGTAGCCTATAAAACTGAACAGGTCCACAGCAGGCCCTCAGTTCCTTTTTACTGACTTGCTAGAAGCCAACATTGCAGGTATGCAGTTGGCAGGACGGCCAATTAGAGGGGTTGCACCACTATAGAACACCTGGAACCTGGGAGAATCCTGCAGGCTTCTTGGCCTAGATACAAAAACGAGTACCTACCACCTCTGTGAGAGATTTCCTAGAATATCTTAGTAGATACTGCAACAGATCTCATTCCCTAGGCAATTTCATGCCACTGGCATGCTATTTATTAGAGGGACTGCATGTATGAAATAGCCTCAAACTTTACCCCATGGGCACACGGTTGGGAGCAAAAAAATATAAAGCCATTCTAAGCTGCACATTTATGACTGCCATTGTGGCCAAATGGTGTAATCACAAAAACACTCACAAGTTAAGCAGCCAAAATTACAATTTGTCAACTCTACTTGAGGTCACCATCTTAAATATCAGAAGTTTACAGCTAATTTAAAATTACCTGGAGGGGCTGGGAAGTTGGCTCAGTGGTAGAGTGCTTGCCTTGCATGCCTGAGGCCCTGGGTTCGATTCCTCAGCACCACATAAGCAAAAAGAAAAAAGCCGGAAGTGGCGCTGTGGCTCAAGTGGTAGAGTGCTAGCCTTGAGCTGAAGAGCTGAGGGACAGTGCCCAGGCCCAGAGTTCAGGCCCCACGACTGGACCCCCCACCTCCCCCAAAAAAATTACCTGCAGAGTTAGAAAACAAAAAATACCAAGGCTTGGATTTAGTGGTCCTTTTTTCCTGAGCAGATATCTAGGTGTTCCCTCACTATCCTCAGCTGGGCCATACTGTAGAACTTCCAGCAATGAGGAACACTGTTCTGAATGGGTGCTTCATGGGCATCTGTGGTTTCTAATTAGATGACATGTGGCCAGTGCTCCCAGGAAACTGTACTGCATTACGTGTAAAAAACATTCTGTTCATAACATTTTTGTGGCCAGTCACTGCTCTTCAGGAGTATTAGCAGGGAGCAGTCTATTCTTTTTTTCTACAAATTTGAAGTATCTTCACAAAGACACATGTCTTTTTCTGTGCTGTTGTTTCCATCTATCTGCCCATTCCCAATCTAATGTAGCATGTAAATTTCAGGTAGGCTTTGGAACTTCATCAACCTCCTAAACATCATGGTAAAAATGTAAGATTACATTAAACTTAGATAATAGTTCAAAGAGAGATCTCCTTACTGTTTCATCTAGACATGTCACATTTCTATTCTTCTAGTTCTCTGTTTATGTCTTTCAGCAATGTTTCATGTGGTTTGCTGTGCTTCTGAGGCTAAGTGTAAAGTCCCTACAGTTTTTACTGCTATTGTGAATGAGATTTTGCTCTTGACATCTTAAAAATATTTTGCTCTTTTGAGGAAGATGGATATTAACCTATTGACTGTGAGTGAGACTGGTAGTTTCTATTACACCTGGTCACTTTTTGTTGGCTGTCCAGTTAAAATACTGTGTTTTCAATGGCATGTGCTGCTATGAGTGGCAGGAGCCATTCTGTGAACTTCCAGAAAACATTTAAGAGAATTCACTTAGTGGCAGAAGTGCCTTTTATTTCTTCTTCTTTTTTTCTTCTTGAAACTGTGATGAGATGATTAGAGATGTGTCAGCATTGTTGTTTGTTTTTTGGTTGGCCATGGGGCTTGAACTCAGGGCCTGGGTGCTATTCCTGAGCTCTTTTGCTCATGGCTAGTGCTTTACCACTTTGAGCTACAGTGTCCCTTTTGGTTTTCTGGTGGTTAATTGGAGATTAAGAGTCTCATGGAGCTGGGTGCCAGTGGCTCATGTCTGTAATACTAGCTACTTAGGGGGCTGAGATCTGAATATTGCGGTCCAAACCTAGCCTGGACAGGAAAAGTTCAGGAGACTCTTGTCTCCAATAAAGCACCAGAAAACTGGAAGTGGCTCTGTGGCTCAAGTGATAGAGTGCTTACCTTGAGCTGAAGAGCTAAGATACAGCACTCAGGCCCAGAGTTCAAGCCCCATGACCGGAAAAAAAAAAAAAAAAAAAGGTCTCATGGACTTTTCTGCCTGGGCTGGATCTGAATTGTGATTCTCAGATTTCAGCCTCCTGAGTAGCTAGGATTACAGGTGTGAGCCACCAGCACTTGGTTGATGTGGGAACATATTTTGATACTAAGGAACAAAACAACATACTAAGATGAAGCAGAAAAGATTTTAAATATTCATAATTATTTTTTGTTATTGATTGCAGGGCTTAAACTCAGGGCCTGGGCACTGTCCCTGAGCATTTTCATTCAAGGCTAAAGCTCTACCACTCTGAGCTACAGTGTACCACTGCTGGTTTTCTGATGGTTAATTGAAGAGTGTCATGGATTTTCCTGCCCAGGCTGGCTTTGAACTGGAATCCTCAGATCTCAGCCTCTTGAGTAGCTAGGAATATAGGCATGAGTGACTGGTGCCCAGCTAACTTAAAAAAAAAATTCCTTTTTAAATTCTGGGGCTCATCCCAGTGTCGGAGGTATATATAGGTAAGTACTCTACCACTGAGCTACATTCTCAGCTCCGAAAACACCTCTTTTTTTTTTCTTTGTCCGGTCGTGGGGCCTCAACTCTGGGCCTGGGTGCTATCCCTCAGCTCTTCAGCTCAAGGCTAGCGCTGTACCCCTTGAGCCACAGCGCCACTTCCAGCTTTTTTTTTTCTGCTTATGTGGTGCTGGGGAATTGAACCCAGGGCCTCATGCATGCAAGGCAAGCACTCTACCACTGAGCCAACTTCCCAGCCCCCGAAAACACCTCTTTTAAATGAGTCCATGTCCTATCCTAAATTTAAGTCACTAGGATACTGTATATAATTCTTGTTACGCTAACACTGGATTCTACTGAAATCTGGTATTAGTTTAATAGTTTACTTTCTTGGAGATTTCTAGGTACAGAATTACTGTCTTTACACTTCCCCCCCCCAAAAAAATAACCAAAATCCCCCCTGGCCAAAATCTTACTTACATATTCCCTATTTTCTAATAGTGCTTCTTAGTATATCACTACAAATTTACATACTTATCTATTGTGCTAAGATTTTTGGGGACTGCTAAAAAGTACATAAACATGAATCAAACACAGAACCATTTTGTTAGCAGCCAGGTACAGATTAAAACAACTTTAATCTCACTGAAAATAGCATGGAAACTAAGTCAATCAGGATACAATATCATCATCTTTAAATTTAATATAATAAAAGTATTTCAGAGAAGTTAACTTGCCTAGAATCACAAACTAATGGTGGCAAAGCCAGTTCCCTAGTCTTTTATATCCTCTTTAATAGCAGACTAGAGATTAAGAAAACTGTATGACCAGTTGGTGAAAGAACACAGCAAAGAGAAGTGACAGCTGGAAGCAAAGTATCAAACAGAAGATAATTAGAAAAGCTGGATTATGTAGCCAGGGCCTTTCATTATAGCCTCCAACAGCACAACAAACACAAACAATTCCTAAGGGTATCTTTTAACACTCATTAAAGATAAAAGCTGTGTAATTAAATAGGAGGACAAGTTTCATGCAATTGATCAATTTTCCATTTCCCAAGATTTCCAAGGTCATTCTGATGATCAAATGTCACACATTGCTCTGTTTCTTCCCTGGATCAGCTGTAGTATAATAGCATAATACAGTAATACACATGTTGAAAATCTTATGGTCGTTATGCACTGCAAAGTTTGCTCTACTAAGAGGTGAAAAACTGCCTATGTCTGAGATCTGGCCCTGTGGTCACTTCTTAGTGACCAATGCTATCTGTAAAATGAGGGTTGAGCCAAGAACTCAACAATAGTACTACCATGTATAAAACTGAGATCCCACAGACTTAAATCACATTTGATATATAGGAGCCTTCCTTTTGTGTTTGCTACAGCATTGCAATTAAAAATAATTAAAAAAAATAAAAATAATTAAAAATTTGGAGTCAGGCAGGGTAAATTTCAATAATCCAAAAAAAAAAAATCCAGTTGGGTGCTAGTGGCTCACGCCAGTAATCTTACTCAGGAGGCTGAGTTCTGAGGATTGTGGTTCAAAGCCAGCTCAGGCAGGAAACTTTGTGAGACTCTTATCTCCCTCCAATTAACCACCAGAAAACTGGAAGTGGTGCTGTGGTTCAAAGTGGTAGAGCGCTAGCCTCAAGCTGAAGAACTGAGGGGCCCAGAGTTCACCCAGGCTCAGAGTTCACAACCGACCAAAAAAAAAAAAAAATCCTTACAGTTGAATAATTTGATATTACACTAAACAGTCCGTATTATAAACATTAAGGTAATGAACAGATTAAAAGATGAACTTAATATATTAATGATTGTTAATAATTAATCAACTAATAACGGATTCATAATTTTTTTTGCTGGTGATAAGTGGGTCAAAATGCAGGTGCATAAAAATATTGCATGAAATTATCTTCAGGCTACATATAAAGTATACAGGAAACACGTGACTTTCATGTGCTGACTCAAATCTCATCCTTAACACATATTATGAACATGTAAATATTCACAAATCCAAGACTAAAATCTGAAACATACCTGGTCTCAATTATTGTGGATAATGAACACTTAATCTGTACCTAGTAAGCAAGATAAATTTCAGACTCAAATTGAAGCTTATTTTGCTTATTGTGAGATGTATATGTTTCTGAGAAATAATTTGTGTGTGTGTGTGCATGTGTGCATGGCCACAGGTACTAGGACTTGAACTCAAAGCTTCAAACTCAGGATCTTTATGAATCTTAAGTGCTGGATTACATCACCATACCCAGCTAAGATAATATTTTTAGAGGCAGAGAAGTGATAAAAGGTAATGTAGAGTGTCAAGGATGGACAGAGATAGACAACAGTGAGATTATAAGTCAGAGGCCTTTTATTTCCCACTCCCTGTTTTTTTTTTTTTAAAAAAACTATAGTGATCAAGATGGACTGTACTCACAAATGGACATGTTGCACTGTAACTCCTTTACATAGCTACTTGAAGATAATAAAAATATACTTTGCAAAGTGTAAAACCACTTTAAGAAACTATCATAAAATTAGTCAAATATCAAGCTCTCAGCAAAAGGAGCTATATTTCCAGAACACAGTGGGAACTACAACGTTTTGAAGTCAGGTAGTCTCAGTTTTAAAATTAAAGTTTAAAACAGATAACACTTCAAAACAATAGTTGTATCACTGTAAGCACTTAATTCTCTCTTTAGCAGAAGTAAAATTTTCCACTTTACACCTTCTTTTACTTTACTACTTACAGTGCACTTTCCATATCTGCTATATTTTCTTCCATTTTCTGAAACCACATAGAGGTAAATAAAGTTGTCATGAGATCCTACAGCCAGAAAGGTACCATCTAGAATGAAACAGGAGAAAGTGTTTACTAGAGGAAGAAGTCTAGAAATTTACTTTTACTTTAGTAGACCTATATTAAGTGTTTTGCAAACTTAACTGTTATTTGGCATTTTACAAACGAATATGGTATCACTCAGGATACATGAAAACCAAACAGCCCAATGGAGCTTTCCTTGGAGATGCTCACAGGCCATTAACTCTTCTTTCATCATAGTTAGCTAAAAGCTGGTCTTAGATGGTTACACCCACCTTCCCCACCTCCCCTTGGCAAGCTTGATGCATAGCTGCTTAGCTCATTGAGCACACATGATCTCAGTTATTGTGTAGGCTCTTTTGGGAAAGGACTAGGTTATCTTTTGCAGTTTCTTCCACTAACACTGTGCTAATAAGCATGTGAAAAATGGCCAAGAAAATCCACTGATCTTTAGATTTAACTGCTACTTCACAGTGGCTATTTGTTACTTCATAATTATAAAACAGATGAAGAAAAATACACCATAATACGCTGCTTTAGGATGACTAGGTTTACAGCTTGGAGCACTTTCTTTATTCAATTATTTAGTGCTTCTTCTGAAGCAACCAAGAAGCAATAAAAAAAAAAGATCCTTTTGGTCTTAAGCCAACAACCATAAAAATGTAATTTCAAGGCTGGGGATGAGGTTCAATGGTAGAGCACTTGCCTAGCATGTGCAAGGCCTTGGATTCAATCCCTAGAACCATAAAATCAAGACAATGCTTGGCACCAGTAGCTCATACTTGAAAGTCCTAACTACTTAGGAGGCTGAGACATAGAAAATTGGTGTTTGAAGCCAGTCTAGGCAGAAAAGTTAGTTGGAGACTCCACCTCCAAAATGCTGGGCTGGCAGTGGCTCGAGTGGCAAAACACCGTTGTTAGTGAGGCCTTGATTTTAAGCCCCATGTAAGTAAAAACAAGACAAAAACTTCTCTCTCTTTTCTTTTTTTTTGGGGGGGGGGGTCTGGTCGTGGGCCTGAACTCTGGACCTGGGCACTGTCCCTCAGCTCTTCAGCTCAAGGCTAGCGCTCTACCATTTGAGCCACAGTACCACTTCCGGCTTTTTTTTCTGCTTATGTGGTGCGGAGGAATCGAACCCAGGGCCTCATGCAGGCAAGGCAAGTGCTCTACCACTGAGCCACCTTCTCAGCTCGACAAAAACTTCTTAAATGTAAGAAAATATCAGACTAACTCTAGGAAAGAATGGTATAACTAAAAACCATATCAGTAAAAGGAAAAAGTATTTGGGAGATAACACTTTGAACAAATGATAAGGTCAAAGGTAAATGATGCTATTTTAATGAAAAATATAATTCTTATAAATGTACTGGTATTTTATCTAATTAGCAAATCAATGTGACCAAAAACAATGTAACAGGAGTTAAAAGCCAAAATACTTGTATATTTTTAACATGATTATTTTTCTCCTTCTCCCTCCCTATCTCCCTGACTATACTAAGGGCTTTAACTCTGGGCCAGTTGTATATTTGCAGGGCAAGCATTTGTCTTTAACTAAAAGCACAGATGGGTCTGTGCTTTTTGCTTGGGCTGGCCTTTGACTGCAATCCTACTATCTATGCTTCCTGTATAATTGAGATATTACATACATACCATTATAACTAGCTTGTTTATATGGAAGTCTCACTAATGTTTTTTGGGGTTTTTTTTGGTCGTGGGGCGCCTGGGTGCTGTCCCCGAGCTCTTCAGCTCAAGGTGAGAACTCTACCACTTGAGCCATAGCACCACTTCCAGTTTTTGGTGGTTAACTGGAGATAAGAGTCTCACAGTCTTTCCTGCCCAGGCTTTGAACCATGGTCCTCATATCTCAGCCTTCTGAGTAGCTAGGATTACAGGTATGAGCCACTGGTGCCCGGCTTCTCACACTAACTTTTTGCCCAGGATAGCTTCAAACCATGATCCTCCCGATTTCTGCCTCTCAACTAGCTGGGATTGCAAGTGTAAGCCATTGTAGTTGACTCTCCTCTTTCTCTCTCTTTTCCCAGTCATAGTGCTTGAACTTAGGGCACAGGCTCTGACCTTGAGCCCCTCTGTGCTCAAGACTAGCACTACCACTTGAGCCACAGCACCACTTCTGGCTTTTTTTATGTAGTACTGAGGAATCAAACCCAGGGCTTCATGCATGCTAGGCACTCTACCACTAAGCAACATTCCCAGCCCCTGGCTCTCTTTTTTATGGTGTAAGAGATTGGATCCAGGGCCTTAGATACAGTAGGCAAGCACTCTACCACTGCGCTACATACATCCCTACTCCTTACACATTCTCTCTTTTTGGTGGTACCACAGTTTTAACTTGAGGGCTCATGCTTGCTAAGCAGGTACTCTACTATGGAGCCAAACATCTAGTCCTTTTTTTTGGGGGGGGGGGGGTCCGGTCGTGGGGCCTGAACTCTGGGCCTAGCCGCTTTCCCTCAGCATTCCGGCTCAAGGCTAGCGCTCTACCACTTGAGCCACAATGTCACTTCCAGCTTTTTTCTTTTTTACTTATGTGGTGCTAAGGAATCAAACCCAGGGCCTCAAGCATGCAAGGCAAGTGTTCTACCACTGAGCCACCTTCCAGCACACATCTAGTCCTTTTTTTGTGCTAGTTATTTTTTAGAAAGGATTTCATTATTTAGCCTGAACTATAAACCATCTATTTTAGACTTCCAGTAGTGGCTGGAATGATCATGGAAAAGTAGCATGACCAGCTACTGGTTAAGATTCTAAATATGTATAATCCTATGGTGGGAGAGCAATATTGATTGAAATTTATTTTGTTTTCAATTGGCAAATGCTGTTGTAATAATTCATTCTAAAATAATGTTTGATGACTTTGGATGTTGTTTAACTTCAGCCTATTTTTTTGTTTCCAGCAATTAACTTGATGTCCAGAGAAATACATTTTCAATACTGTACAACTCTAGAGAGTGAAGAAAAAAGGAATCTACTTCATTAGAAGTGAAAATACACAATTACAGTAAAGTGCTGTGAGTACCAGGCTGGCGGGGAGTAAATTTGCCTACCTATTGAGTATCGCATCACGGAGAGCTGCTCGTTTCCATCCGTGTGGATAGAAACTAGATCTCTGGTTTCTGCATCCAGAACAAACCACCTGTTAAGAAGTAAGAAAATCTTCAGATTCCAACATTAATAGAAAAAAAAAGGCTGCTGACCTTTTGTCCATTTTTAAGAAATTCCACTGGGAAAGTGAGGGAAAAGGTGACACTGTTCAAAAAGAAATGTACTCTTTACCTGACAATGTAACTGTAACCCCTCTGTACACCACCTTTATGTTAACAATAAATACATGAAAAAATGTCAACAATAATCTTTTTTTCTTATTTTAAATTTTGTGCTTGTCCTGGAGCTTGAACTCAGGGCACAGGCACTGACTGTACCTGAGCTTTTGTGCTCAAGGCTGGTGCTCTACTATTTGAGCCACGGCTCCACTACCAGCTTTTTTTGGTAATTAACTGAAGATGAGTCTCCTGAATTTTCCTGCCAGGCTGGCTTTCAACTGCAATTCTCAGATCTCAGCTTCCTGAGTAGTTAGGATTAAAGGCTTGAGCCACCACCCAGCTAACAACTGTATTTTAAGTACAATATGTTTCTTCCAAGGAAGGATGAATTAATTTTGTAAAATGCCACTAGTTACAGTATAAATGAACAGTGAGAATCTATTCCTGTTCTCACTTCAACTTGGTATTCACTAAATGCCAACTGTCTTTCTGTTAGGTATTGTTTAAATAGAAAAATAAGACCAAGAGTGATAGAGGGATGAGATTGTGGAAATGTAACAGTGAAACCCCCACCTGTATAATGTAATCTAATAAATTAAAAAAAAAAGGGCTTGGGGCTGGGAAGGTGGCTCAGTGGTAGAGCGCTTGCCTTGCATGCTCGAGGCCCTGGGTTCGATTCCTCAGCACCACATAAAAGCCAGAAGTGGCGCTGTGGCTCAAGTGGTAGAGCGCTAGCCTTGAGCTGAAGAGCTGAGGGACAGCGCCCAGGCCCAGATTTCAGGCCCCACGACTGGATCCAAAAAAAAAAAAAAAGGGCTTAAAGCTGGGAGTCAGTGGCACACTCCTGTAATCCTACTCAGGAGAATGAGATTTGAGAATTATGGTTCAAAGCCATCCTATACGACATTCTAGAGACTCATCTCCAGCAAAAAACCAGAAGTGGAGGTGTGGCTCAAGAAAATAAATATAGTACTAGCCTTGAGCAAAAAAGCTGAGCAAGAGCTTAGTCTGGGACTTCAAGCTCTAGTGGCCCTTGTAGCAGATCCCCAGGGAGGAGAGGGGGAAGGCTTAAGAGAAAAAATAAGACGGTATTCTTGAAGATGGTATTCTTGAAGATTATACCAGAGATTGGAAAAAGGAAATGAGCCAAGTAAAAAAAGAATGGTTAGTCATCTCAGTGTCACTAAGTATTGTAGAGCATAGGAAAACCTTCAGAGAAGATGTAGGATATGGGTAGGAGTGACAGCTCTACAGTTCCCTGTCGAGCAGGGAGGTAGATAAAGGTGCCAGAGAATAGCAGTACTCCAACAACCATATACAAGTACATGAAAGCTCCATAGTCATTGATACTCACAGGAAAAGTAAAAAATGCAAACGCGTTCTAGCGACAAAAATGACTTAAATCAAATATGTTATAAATAACTATCTTCAGAGCTTTGTCAAAGAGCACTTTGAAGAAAGGATAGATGCTTCAAAAGATCACAGCAGCTGGGCACTGGTGGCTCACTACTGAGCTAATCCCCACTATTTAGAAGACTAGAAAGAACTTGAAAGAATTAAAAAAGCTTAGTGATGCTGGTGAGCATGCCTTAATGATTTCAAGAAAGAAGATTTAAAAACTACATGATCCCTACTCTTTACCCATCAATAGAATCCTTTCTAAAATATATTCACAAGTAAACTTCAGTAAGTTTTCGAGCTACAGACTCAAACTTTTAAGCAGTTAACGTAATCCGTACAGCTTATCATCTACTCAGATAAGAGAAATAGTCTCTATGCATGAGTATTTGTTTAAAGGCCAATCAGTTGTAAACTTGTACTTTGAAACCATATGCTACATGTTTTCTGATCATTTCAACTTGTCAAAAGGGGCATAAGAAACATACTTCATTGCAACTGGACAACACCCACAGATTATCAGTTTCTTCTAAAAAGGTTAGTGCTTGAATCAAGTTTTATGGCTGGCCATGTAAAATTCCTCTGTGCCAAGAAATGCCAAGGCAGATATGAAGTGACTATCTTTTCAGAAAGGGAACCTAATAATATTCCAACTAAAATAACATACACACTAAATAATCATTAGAAAAAAAGGCACTCTATCAGGCTTCTAATTTTTGATGGGTATATGGACATTTTATCATATTCTCTTATGCATTTAAAAGTTAATTTTATTTTGGAAAAGCCCCAATTGACACTGCTTTAAGACCATTTCCAGTCTTCCTAGGAGAAGTACATCTATTTAATTGTTTTAGAAACTCCCTTTGAGAACAGTAAAACCCCAGAGTACCTGTTGGTATATGTGTAGAAACCTATTCATTGAATAGAGATAGCAGTTATGAAGAAAGGGGGAAAAAGGCAAGTATCTGACTAATCCTAGTGAACTAGGAGGCTGAGATCTGAGGACTGAGGTTTAAAGCCAGCCTGGTCAGACAATCTGCAAGACTCTAATTCCAATTAACCAGCAAAAAGCTAAAAGTGGAAATACTGCCCAAGTGGTATGATGAGTGGAAAATGCCAAGTGAGAGTTTGAGGCCCAGAGTTCAAGCCCCAAAACTGGCACAAAAAGTACATTCCAAAACAGGAATAAAAGCCTAACTCAAGCATCTTATTTTCCAATTAGAACACTGATATCCTGACGAGTCCTCAACCAATAAATTAGTGGCCGAACTAAGGCAGAGCTTTTGGCCTTTGTGTTTTTCAGCATTTCATACTGGAGATGAGTAATATCATGAAAAGGTCTCTTTATATTTCATATTCACTAACATTTACGGATCCTGAGAAGAAAGACAACCAGCAAGAGTCTGGAGTTCATTGGGAAAACAGAATGAACTCCCAATATGGTAAACAGTTAAAAGTACCATGGGTAGGATGAGGAAGGTGGCTCAGTGGTAGAGCGCTTGCCTTGCATGCATGAGGCCCTGGGTTCGATACCTTAGCAATGCATAAGCAAAAAGAAAAAAGCCGGAAGTGGTGCTGTGGCTCAAGTGGTAGAGTGCTAGCCTTGAGCTGAAGAGCTGAGGGACAGTGCCCAGGCCC